TTGCAGATGGAAACAATGGAGCAGCTGTTTGGGAGAAAGGATATCCATTTGTGTGGCCGTGGCAAATGCGGGAGATTTAGCGAAGACTCATTCCAAAATTTTATCCTAGACGGAATTCCACTTCGAAACAGTGTCAAAGATCGGACAGTGTGTTATACACCGGACATCAATTACATTCTGGGAGACTTTTTTCCCAGAAACAGCATGAGAAATATGAGCATCTTAGTCTCGGATCATGGTATAAATTATCTTGTACCGAATTCCTTTTTGGACAATTTTGATTCATCGCCCAAGAGTCGAAGCCATTCCACCAACCCTTCTGGATCCGAGATCCATCAGACTTAATTGTTTACAGCAGATATCTTTATTCCGTAGCATTTAGAATTCATCTGGCTTGAGGAAGTAAGGTTTTTTTTACATGGCTGGGGTTTGCCTTCCTCCGCCACCAAAAACAACGTCCTAAGTCATCTTAGAAGTCGTTATCACATCCCCACTTGGGGCTATCAATGCCTGCTACTCTAGGAGTTGCTACAAATTCGGATTGAACCTATAAGCCTTAGCAGGAGTCACCGGGTCACTAACTGCCCTATGCACAATCAAAATCGAAGAGCTTGAAGTGTCGAAGCATTGAACAGCAGGAAATGTCAAATGTTTACTCTCTTTTAAGTCCCCCTTTATTTTTCTTAAAAAACCTGACTATTAAATATCTGTCTATCATATGAATATCACCAACTAAAATCTTGCCCTGTTAAAGCTGGCATTTTTTGCCTTCAACTCGTTTTTACTACGCTTCTGTCATCATTAAGTGGTGGTATGGGGCGGTGGGGACTACAAATACACCAAGCTTTTATATTGTAATACAGGGCAACCAAGAGTAAGTAAATGAACCTAATTCACTCGTCAAAAATATTCGTGATTTTTGCAAGCCAAGAAATTGATCCTTAGCGTGATTTTGTGAAGAGTATGGAATATAAAAGGGTTTAGTGTAATATTTCCAAATATGGTAGCAGGTTCATCCCCAGCGTCACATATATATGTGACACGATTGAAGAGAGTGCATTTAATTTGAAGGGATGCTCGAGGCAAAAAAATTTGCGCCAATGCCAGACCCCCAAACGTTAATGTTTCTGAAGCCTTCATTTATCTTTTACTATTCAGATGATCTTGAAAGATGCAATGAATTTGAATCCATGATAAAATATTATGGAATTCCCTATTGTTTTGAGTCAAAGATAACAAGCTCAAATACGTTGGATTTTGTTGCCATTTTCAGTTCATTCGAAGTGCTTTGTCAAAGTTCAGGTCCTAAGTTAATCTAATCAGTCGTGACCTAACTCTGACAATTTGCATGGATCTCGGAGGAACATCACCCCTTATAACCCACGTGCCTCATTTATACACTGTGATATTACCCTCCATTTTTTGCTCAATCCAACCTTGTGCCCGGAGACAACAAAGGTACATTCACATCTGAATTAGGAACGTCCTGCTTTAAGTCCAATAAATGTTTGATACACCGGTTTTTTCAATTATAAACTACTTCAGGGCACGCGTCACGTATTTGTGTCGACGGACTCAGGTAGAGAATATTGCCGTAAAATCACGTTATAAACTATGTTCAAACTTTTCAGACATAGGTTCTGACAGGAAAAAAGGTTCTTCTTGGCTTAGTCTTGCCTTATGCCACAAGAATTGCCATTCACTACCTTTTTTCCATGAATTTTGACAGCTTAACTGCAACTTTAATAGGTCATAATTTTAGTGTCCTGATTGACGGAGACGGCCATCCGGTGTAGTCGTGATCACTACCTGTTTTACCTGTTACATAGTAAAAGAGTTTGGGAGTATAAAATCGTCCGTTCCAAAGTGGAGAGCAGTGCTGGCACAGTCCCACACTTCCATCTTAGGCATAAAGAGGCTTGAGAGGTTGGCTGAAATATTTCGGGAAAGGTGATTTTGCAGCGTCTGCGGCACGACAAACTATCTTAATACCGAGGGCTTACCGATTTCTCAAAATTGCACGAAAATTTCAACTATTAGGACGATGATGCGATGGGCTGTGTGGTGACTACCTAGGATCCAGCATTCCACGCGCTGGATATTCGCTCAGGCCGCTGGCGTAGACTACCATAGTCACTATCATAACTGACAGGCATGCAGACGATTCAGATGGTTTAATTCAGCATTTGAAGTCGACTGTAAAAACAAAAGGGTGTCCACGAGTTCTAGTTTTACCCCTTTTTCCACAGAAAATTTCTTCTCTGTTGCGTGTACTCTTACCTACCATTGCGACTAAGAGGCTCAAGTCATATAAACCGACTGTTAGGAGTAGGACAGGCTTACCATTACTGTCGCGTGCAGTACAGCCATAGTAACATCCCTTTAATGTCCTCGTTTTAAGTAAAAGTTTCCCTTGCCCTCGTTATTGGCATCTGGGAGGGCCGGAAAACTAATGCCACTGGTGGTGTTTGTCGACTTCCCTACCGCCAGCACAGAGGCCAAAACATCGGAGGCTGGAAAGATTCAAACAGTTACTAAAGCTTGTAGACTTGATTTTAACTTTCCTTTCCTATATGAGAAAAAGAGCGGAGGAAATAAAAACTGCCCGGTTTACTGAATCTGATACAGAGGGGCTGAAGGATCAGATACCTGGGTCGGGTAAACCGCTGATACTCCGTCCTATAATAGCTTCGGCAAGATGTTCTCCAATTATCGTGGGACGAAGTCGTTGCATAAAACTTTAAGGAGAACAGTGAAGTTAGCCAGCTTTAGCCCTATGTCATCTGAATTCTCACTAGGAAAGTAGAAATTCGTAGTGGTATGGAAACGATTTTATTATCACCGGTGGGCTATAAATAGGGTTAAGAATGTCGTAATATCGATATAGCGACCAAATCATGGGAAATAATGAATCCTGTCTCTTCTTTTGCGTGATATCCCAGACATATGAGCCTTCCGGTCAGCCACAAGATGACTAATGATGATATCGTAGGTGTGCCTTTCAGAAAGAATGCCGCCTATTAATGGTGGCATGCACCACAAATTTGTTTGATTCTTTACTGCCGAGTCTCGTGCAGTGCAAAATACACCGAGAAGAGTCCATTGGGTGTATAATGTAAAAGATTGGATAATATTCTACAGCTGGCGCATTTCATATGTACCTCTCCTGCAGCAAGACGAAAATGGAAGAAATTTTAAGTCTTTGACTCTCGAAATAAGCAGGCGTATTTAGTGCAAAACCAGAAGCACCCTTTTTAAGGGATACAAAACCCAAGGTTGACAGGTTAGCCCAAAGTCGACTTAATTTTGACGGCTTCTCCCACTTAAGTCTTCGCGTGATCAATCATCTTCATAGAGGATACCTATCGCCTGTAACGTTGGAATGTGGATTCTGGCCAACAAGGCCGGGATGCCGTCCATTTTCTACAGATTTTCGTCGCGTTTTACCAAATCTGAGCTCCCTACTGCAGTCATAGGGCTAAATCAAGGATCCCTGAACTTGGTTGTATCGTTCAGCGACACAAAAGGGATCTAGGAATCGTCCACCTCTTTGTAGCAGTTGATAAAGTTACTTTTTGGTATTTTTAATCTTTTTTGGTGGGTTAGAAAAGATTGATTTGTTAATTACTCAACTTGGCAGTCATCAGTCAGAACCGTCTTTTGTCTTCGTCTGCTTGATTAATTTGTTTTGTG